CCTAAACCCCCCAAAACCCCCCCAAAATTCCCCCAAATTCCCGAAATTAAAAAAAATTCCCAAAAATTCCCGAATTCCCAGATCCAGCCGGACCTGCGGGAGCTGCTGGAGACGATGACCCGGATGAGCTCCCTGCCCCCCGACTTCGAGGGGCGCCTCAAAGTCAACCAATGGTGAGGCAGCACCGGAATTTCGGGAAGTTCGGGAATTTCGGGAAGTTCGGGAACATTTGGGGAGAATTTGGGAACATCTGGGGAGAATTTGGGGGATTTTTTGGGGGTTTTTTGGGATTTTTGGGGGTTTTTTTGGATTTTTTGTGGATTTTATGGGGATTTTTTGGGATTTTTTGACGATTTTTGGGGATTTTTTGGGGTTTTTTTTGGATTTTTTGTGGATGTTTTGGGGATTTTCTTGGGATCTTTTTGGGATTTTTGTGGTTTTGGGGATTTTGGGGGTTTTTTTTGGGATTTTGGGGGTTTTTTTGGGGATTTTTGGGGATTTTATGGGGATTTTTTTGGGATCTTTTGGGGGTTTTTTTTGGGATTTTGGGGGTTTTTTTGGATTTTTTCTGGATTTTATGGGGATTTTTTGGGATCTTTGGGGATTTTTTTGGGATTTTTGTGGTTTTGGGGATTTTGGGGGAATTTTGGGGATTTTTGGGGATTTTTTTGGATTTTTTTGTGGATTTTATGGGGATTTTTTTGGGATCTTTTTGGTTTTGGGGATTTTGGGGGAATTTGGGGTTTTTGTTGATTTGTTGTGGATTTTATGGGGATTTTTTGGGATTTTTTGAGGATTTTTTTGGGATTTTTGTGGTTTTGGGGATTTTGCGTTTTTTTGGGGGATTTTTGGGGGTTTTCTTGGATTTTTTCTGGATTTTTCTGGAATTTTTGAGGATTTTTTGGGGATTTTTGTGGATTTTTGTTGTTTTGGGGATTTTGGGGTTTTTTTTTGGGATTTTGGGGTTTTTTTTGGGATTTTGGGGGGTTTTTTTTTGATTTTTTTCTGGATTTTATGGGGATTTTTGGGGATTTTTTTTGGGATCCTTTTGGGATTTTTGTGGTTTTGGGGATTTTGGAAGAATTTTGGGGATTTTTGGGGGTTTTTTTTGATTTTTTGTGGATTTTACGGGGATTTTTTGATTTTTTGGGGATTTTTTTGGGATCTTTTTGGGATTTTTGTGGTTTTGGGGATTTTGGGGGAATTTTGGAAATTTTTTGGGGAATTTTGGGGATTTTTTGGGGAATTTTGGGGATTTTTTAGGAATTGTGTGGGGATTTGGGGACTTTTTGGGATTTTTGGGGATTTTTTTGCAATTTTTTGGAATTTGGGGGATTTTTGGGGATTTTTTTGCGATTTTTTGAGATTTGGGGGATTTTTGGGGGGATTTTTTTGGGGAATTTCGGGAATATTTTGAGAATATTTTTGGGAAATGTTTTTGGAATTTTGGGAACATTTTGGGAATATTTTGGGAATCCCCCAGGCTGCAGAGGCTGAGCAGGACGAGTTGGGGATTTTGGGATTCGGGGATTTGGGAGCGGAATTTTGGGAATTTCTCGGGGATTTTTTGGGGATTTTTTGGGAATTTTGGGAGTTTTGGGGATTTTTGGGGGGATTTTGGGGTTTTGGAGGGAATTGGAGAATTTTTGGGGGGATTTTTGGGAATTTTGGGGGATTTTTTTTGAATTTTGGGGGATTTTTTTGGGAATTTCAGGGATTTATTTGGGGCTTTTGGGGGGAATTTGGAGAATTTTGGGAGAATTTGGGAGTTTGGGAACATTTGGGGAGAATTTGGGAAAATTTGGGGAGAATTTGGGGATATTTTGGGGATTTTTGGGGGGGATTTGGGGATTAGTGGGGATTTTTTTTGGATTTTGGGGATTTTTGGGGATTTTTTTGGGAATTTCGGGGATTTTTGGGGAATTTCAGGGATTGATTTGGGTGTTTGGGGAATTTTGGGGGATTTTTTGGGGATTTTTTTGAATTTTGGGGGGATTTTTTGGGAATTTTTTGGGGGTTTTTGGAAATTTTGGGGATTTTTGGAGGATTTTTTAGGAATTTTGAAGATTTTTTGGGGAATTTTGGGTTATTTTGGGGATTTTTCCGGGATTTTTGTGATGAGGAATTTTGAGGGATTTTTGGGGGAGTTTTGAGATTTTTGGGGGATTTTTTGTGATTTTATGGGGATTTTTTGGGATTTTTTGGGGGATTTTTTTTGGGGAATTTCAGGAATATTTTGGGAATTTTTGGGAATATTTTGGGAATTTTTGGCTCCAGGCTGCAGACGCTGAGCGCGATGTCGGCCTTGGACAAGTTTGGGATTTTGGGATTGGGGGATTCGGGAGCGGAATTTTGGGAATTTCTCGGGGATTTTTTTGGGAATATTTTGGGAACATTTTGGGAATTTTTGGGGAATATTTTGGGAACATTTTGGGATATTTTGGGAATTTTTTTGGGGAATCCCTNAATTTTTGGGGAATATTTTGGGAACATTTTGGGATATTTTGGGAATTTTTTTGGGGAATCCCTTAGGCTGTAGATGCCCAGCGTGACGTCGGCCTCAGATGAGTTTGGGATTTTGGGATTGGGGGATTTGGGAGCGGAATTTTGGGAATTTCTCAGGGATTTTTTTTTGGGATTTTTTTTTAAATTTCGGGAATTTTTTGGGACCATTTTGGGAATTTTTGGCTCCAGGCTGCAGACGCTGAGCGCGATGTCGGCCTCGGAGCAGTTTGGGATTCTGGAATTGGGGGATTTGGGAGCGGAATTTTGGGAATTTCTCGGGGATTTTTTGGGGGATTTTTTGGGGGATTTTTTTGGGAATTTCGGGAACATTTCGGGAATATTTTGGGAATATTTTTGGCTCCAGGCTGCAGACGCTGAGCGCGATGTCGGCCGCGGACGAGTTTGGGATTTTGGAATTGGGGGATTTGGGAGCGGAATTTTGGGAATTTCTCGGGGATTTTTTTGGGGATTTTTTTGGGGATTTTTTTGGGATCTTCGGGAATTTTTCGGGACCATTTTGGGAATATTTTTGGCTCCAGGCTGCAGACGCTGAGCGCGATGTCGGCCTTGGAGCAGTTTGGGATTCTGGAATTGGGAGATTTGGGAGCGGAATTTTGGGAATTTCTCGGGGATTTTTTTTTGGGATTTTTTTTGGAATTTCGGGAACATTTTGGGAATTTTTCGGGACCATTTTGGGAATATTTTTGGCTCCAGGCTGCAGACGCTGAGCGCGATGTCGGCCGCGGACGAGCTGGACGATGCCCAGGTCCGGCAGATGCTCTTCGACCTCGAGTCCGCCTACAACGCCTTCAACCGCTTCCTGCACGCCTGAGACCGCCCCAAACCGGCCCAAACCGGCCCAAACCGGCCCAAACCGGTCCAGACCGGTCCAATCAGGAGTTTGGGATAATAAACGGGAGGAGGAAAATCCCAAAAATCCCCCAAATCCGGGAGGAATTCCGCTCTTTTCTCCTCATTTGTGCATCAAACTGGGAGCCTGTCCCAGTAAAAACCAGTTCAGACCAGTTCAAACCAGTTCAGACCAGTTCAAACCGGCCTGAACCGGTCCAACCAGGAGTTTGGGATAATAAACGGGAGGAGAAAAATCCCAAAATCCGTGAAAAATTCCGTTTTTTTCTCTTGTTAATGGGAGCCGTTCCCAGTCCAGACCAGTAAAAACCAGTTCAGACCAGTCCAAACCGGTTCAGACCGGTCCAAACTGGAGCCCCCAGGAGTTTGGGATAATAAACAGGAGAAGAAAAATCCCAAAATCTGGGAAAAATTCCGGTTTTTTCTCATAATTTGTGCATCAAACTGGGAGCCTGTCCCAGTAAAATCCAGTCCAAACCAGTTCAAACCAGTTCAGACCNGGAAAAATTCCGGTTTTTTCTCATAATTTGTGCATCAAACTGGGAGCCTGTCCCAGTAAAATCCAGTCCAAACCAGTTCAAACCAGTTCAGACCAGTCCAAACCGGTTCAACCAGGAGTTTGGGATAATAAACGGGAGGAGGAAAATCCCCAAAATCCGGGAAAAATTCCATTTTTTTTCTCTTGTTAATGGGAGCCATTCCCAGTCTAGACCAGTAAAAACCAGTTCAGACCAGTCTAAACCAGTCCAGACCAGTCTAAACCAGTCCAAACCAGTAAAAACCACTCCAAACCAGTAAAAACCAGTCCAGACCAGTCCCCAAATCCCAAAAATCAGCAAAAATCCGGGATCAAACTGGGATTTATTGGATCCAACTGGGAACCTCCCAGTCCAAACCAGTTTAAACCAGTCCAAACCAGTAAAAACCAGTAAAAACCAGTTTAAACCAGTCCAGACCAGTAAAAACCAGTCCAGACCAGTAAAAACCAGTCCAAACCAGTAAAAACCAGTCCAGACCAGTCCCCAAATCCCAAAAATCAGCAAAATCCGGGATCAAACTGGGATTTATTGGATCCAACTGGGGACCTCCCAGTCCAGACCAGTTTAAACCAGTCCAAACCAGTCCAGACCAGTCCAAACCAGTCCAGACCGGTAAAAACCAGTAAAAACCAGTCCAAACCGGTCCAGACCAGTTTGGCTCAGGGCAATTCCTGAATTTTCTCCCGGCTCCGGCTCCGGGTGGCTCCGTCCAGGTCCCCGACGCCGCATCCTGACAAAAATTTGGGAATTTCGGGAATTTTGGGAAGGTCGGGAACCCACAGGGTGGGGGAGGGGGCATTGATGACGTCATTCCCCAAAATTTGGGGGCGTTATTCCCAAAATTCCCAACATTTCCCAAAATTCCCATTTTTCCCCCCCAAAAT